GGAAGCATGAAGGAAATTACCCTACGCATGATTTAGAGATGGCGGCTGTGGTATTTGCACTTAAGATATGGAGATCTTACTTGTATGGGGAAAAGGTGCAGATATACACAGACCATAAGAGTTTTAAGTACATCTTTACTCAACCGGATTTGAACATGAGTACAGCGTATCATCCTCAGACTGATGGGCAGTCAGAACGGACGATCAGGACATTGGAGGACATGTTCAGAGCGTGTGTACTGGACTGGGGTGGTAGTTGGGAAGACTACTTACTGTTGGCTGAATTTGCATACAACAATAGTTACCAAATGAGCATTGAGATGTCTCCGTATGAGGCGTTGTATGGAAGGCCGTGCAGGACACCATTGTGTTGGACACAAGTGGGGGAGCGTAGCGTAATGGGGCCAGCAGTGGTCGAGGCTACTACAGAAAATATCAGATTATTAAAGGTTAAGCTGAAAGAGGCTATGGACAGGCAGAAAAGTTATGCGGACAAGCATCTCAGGGACTTGGAGTTCAGTGTGGGTGATATGGTTTATCCTGAAGGCACTGACTTATAAGAGAACAGACAGGGCAGCTAAGAGTGCCAAGTTGAATCCAAGGTACATGGGGCCGTACCGGATACTGGAAAGAGTTGGCGCAGTGGCTTACAAGTTGGACTTGCCATCAGAAATGGGAGCGTTCCATAATGTTTTCCATGTGTCGCAGCTAAGAAAGCACATTACCGAACGGGAAACGGTTATAGAGGAGCTGCCAGCAGACTTGCAAGAGGACCTTGCAGTAGTGGCTAGGCCGGTTCGGGTGATAGATCGGAAAGAAGAGACTAAGCGTGGAAAGCTGGTCAGAATGGTTCAGGTCGTATGGGACTGCGACGGGCATGAATATATTACTTGGGAAAATGAGGCTAGGATGAAAGCTGAGTATCCCAACTGGTTTGACAAGTTGCAAGCGGATGAGTCGGATTCGAGGACGAATCCAGAACGGGTGTGGGAGAGTTGTAGCATCCGTATCTGAGAAAATTCGGAATGATCGAGCCGGACAGGGCATTGTCCGAGGAATGATCGAGCCAAGGGTCGGATATTGGCTGGGAAATAGAGGTTCGGACTATGGTCGGGTGTTGACCGGGGAAATAGTTGGATGGTGGGCTGGATAGCCGAGCCGGATGGACCATATCCGAGGGAAAAAGGGGTCCAGTCCGTGCGAAATGGGATTTATCCCGGTGCAGTGGGATTTATCCGAGAGTCTGAGAGGTTAGTCCGAGTGTCAGTGGACTGTCTCCGAGGGGATAAGGAAAACCTCCGAGAGAAATAGAGGATTAGCCGAGGTGGGACAAGTTGTCCGAGAGAAAAAGGAATATCCGGGTGAAAAACGGAAAACACCTCGGATAAGGGCGGTTTATCCGAGTGGGAAAGGATTTGGGCTGTGGGCCAAGTATTAGGTCGGCTATTTTGTGGTTTATCGAGTGGATGGTCAAGCCGGTACAGGGAGTAGCCGAGAGAATCAAATCGGACCGGGATAAAACCTACTTGAACCAGGAAAACATCGGATAAGTCCGGATTACCTAGGGCTTTGCGAGTATATAAGGCGTTTTTGAGACTTTTCCCGGGAGAGTTGTGTTTATTCGAGAGCAATAAAGCAAAGAAAGAGAATAGTCGAGAGAAAACCCTAAGAAAAACAGTTTATCCCGAGGACATCCGAGAGAGATCAGGTTATCGCCGAGCAGAACCGACCATCGCCAAGATAAACTGGTAAGCGATCGGATATTTCTCTAAGTGTTGAGTTTTCATCGGATAACCTCGAGCTTATAGCCTTGTTTTGTGGGGTTTCCGAGGGTAAACAGAGTTTGGCTCAGAGAAAGGTGAACGGATCGAGAGATAGCCGAAGGGAAAGGGATCAGATCATACGGACAGTCGAGAGATTCCTAGGGAGATCGGATATCTTCGATTTGGTGCGAGTTTCATCGGGATTTCTTCTGACCAATCTGTTTCCAGCCTTGTTTAAGGTGAGTGCGTGACTGTGGTTGGCGTCTAGAACCGTAGGATTGCTAGGGTTGAATGTTTGCATGTTTGATTGTGTGATTTTCATGTTATGTGTTTACAACTGAAATGCGATTTCATGTTATGATATAACGAGGTGTTTACCGTGGTATAGATGATGTCTAGCTAACCTCAGGATAATCCGGATCATGTACTAGCTTAGGGGATGTGGGATTCTCACTGAAGTAGACATGGGTCTTAAAAAGGGATTGAACTTGGTTGGTTAGGTTAGATGATCATGGCCGTTTGATATAAGTGTTATATCTATTACTAATTGACTGTGTGGAATGTTGAATCCGAAAGTATGATTGCATGCTTGGTACTGACCAGGTGTTACGTGATGACCGTACTCACTAAGTATTTATGAAATACTTATGCCTCTCTTCTTGAGTGTGCAGGTACTAAGCAGTAAGGAGGCGAGACCAGGCGGCAGTGATGGATATGGATGGATCGGGACTGGGTTTTAATTATATTTAAGACGTTGTGCTTTGTCTTATGGCTTTGGTGTTTGACCGTTTAGGTTGTTAGATGATCAGTTGTAATCGTTAGCGAGCCTTGTGTTTTGGTATTTGATAACCCTGAATCCTGTTTAAGTGTTTTATGAAAGTTAAATGAATAAGATGAGTTGTTTTAGATTCCGTTGTGTGTTGATAAGAAAAAATAAGAATAAAGAAAAAGTTTAAAAATGTGGCTAAGTATAGAAATAGACTGTTAGGATGTAGTGGGACACAGCCACGGTACGGTTTACCGGGTTGGGTTACCACAGAATCACTATTGGTTTGGCTTCATATATTCACTCTTAGTGTTTTTAGAGTCTTCAAAGCTTTTGCAGGTAATCTGAATGTTTTGGGCACAAAAAAGCTAAAAACAAGTATTCTGGAGATTAAATAGTTTTCTGTCTTCAGAAGTTTTGGTTTTGATGGAGGACTTTCCACTATTAAATAAACACAAAAGTTTGACTTTAGATAGCCATGGATGTTAGATTTCATTTCAAAGTGGTTTGAAGTCAATAAAAATCTTGTACCAAGAGTTACTCTCAAATTATCGAAGACTGGTCTTTCTGGTGACGAAATGGAGAAACCCAGAGAATGACACTTATGATCGATCCAATACCAATCAACCTTAACTTCTCATCGATCGACTAGCATAGCCATCCAAGTCAGCATGGAGTCGACCGATCCATTGGTGATGATTTACTTACAGAGATATTCAATCTGTTTAGAAATTTGTGCCCCATACATATTCACCTTATCCGCCTTCGAAAACTATGAAAAAACATTGAGACGGAACGAAAAAAAAGAATGCAGCCAGCGAGTGTGGCTTGAAAAATCACCAACATGCAGCCACAAAAACTTTATAGTTTTCATTGGTTTAATTTCATTATTTGGTTTTTGCTTTTTTTTTTTTTGAAGAAGTGGATCTCAGCTTCATATCTCGATATAGAAAAGTTTACTAACTCATTTTCTTAATGCAATATTTCGATTATACTGCCATTGTTTTATTGTTTACTTTTGTGTAACCAATTGCTGGGTTTAGGGTTGTTAGAAGGAAAATCATAATGGCTTAACAAATAGGATTGAATGATCTAGGCTTAGAGTTTAGTTAAAAATCTTTGTCTCTGTTGGGAATATTGTCTTGCTAGTTAGTGATTAATTTTAAATTGGTATTACTTGCATACTACTTATTGCCGGTTAGAACTAAGCATAAATGAGCTCAACTGGATAATCGTATCACAACTAAACTAGCAGATAAGAGTCACAACACTTGGGCATTACTCCTCCCCCTATGCTCACATATACCTCTTGACTATATCATATAAGTTGAATATATCTTACTTGAGCATCGAAGAGTTTCCGGAAGGGAAACCCACTTTCGTCCCTCTCAAAGGTGTCTTCAAGAGTTTGCTTGAGGTCTGAGGTCCAGCGCATGGGAGGTGATTTTGCATCCAGGTACTATTCACCACCCTAGTAGATGGATACACAACCCGAGTTACGTCGCGAAGAACCGTAAGAACCGTAAGCTTAGTTTTAAAAATTTTAGTTTTTTACTATCTTTTATTCAATAAAATATAACAAATTTGTTAGTTTTTACTTTTGTTTATGAGATAAAACCATATGTGAGAAGTGACAAAAAGGTGATTTGTTTTTTTAACTTTGAAAAACACATACATATTTTAAAATTTGATATAAACTTTAAAATAATCAATTTTTTGCAATCTAAAAATATTTCCAACCAAATATTAAAATTCTTCATTTGGCTAAAAATTACATGAAAATCTTATTTGAGTTTGTCAAAAAAATATGAATTTGATAAATAGTCATTCTATTTGAAGTGTAAAGGTAATGTACCAACTACAAATTGTCATGTTGTCATTATTTGGGACATATACAAATGCTTATCACATCTGTGAATACTAGAAAAGTATTTCTTTCACTTTAACTTGTTTTTTTCAGTTGGTGTTTAAATGATTATTGAATTTCTTTTAACAATAAATATACTTAGTAAAAATTGAATTGTCATTTGATAAATATATAAATTCTTACAAGCTATTGGTACAAATATTTTTATTTTGACATCAATTCTTAAAGAATAAAAAATAATATGGGCTTTATTTTTTATTTTCGCATTTGGTTGAGCATGAATCCGCACATGATGATACGCTTTCCACTTCTGCTTATTCGTCAAACAGCAACAAAAATCCATAAAAGATAATTAAAATTTATAACACCAAATATTAACTTTATATATCATAATCAATGTAAAAGTGAAAAGTAGACATAAAACTATGGAGCACTATTTGCAATTATGCAATACCTACGTAATTGAAATCACAGCACTCATTTTGAATTCGTTCAAAAATGTAATGTCATATGAAATTTACAAGATACACTAAAAAAATACAAGAAGTGAAGGCTTACTCGGATTTTGGAAGGAGGAAAGAGAAACACAATGATGAGTTGCACAACCAAGTTTGCAAAAATAATCAGAATCATCGATTTCTTCGTTTAAAGAAAAAGATTGTGGAGAAGCTTGTTGAAGACATGATTTCATACACGTGACTGGACACAAAAGTTTCTTTGGAAACCCTGACTGAGATGTACACATCATAAGACAACCTGGATAACATTGTACGAAAGGGATTTGTTGAGCCTCTAGCTGAATAAAATTGTTCCCTATCACCATCATCGTCACTAAGACTGTCATTATTTTGCTCTCCATGTTAAAGAAAAGACAAAAATTTGTTTTTTTTCCTATTTGTGTACCTTTTCCCTTTCTTAGTATATATTATAAAAACTTTTAACGGATTGGTTTTTTGTAAGTTGTGAATGCTGATTGAGTTAACAATTCTTTGTTTATATATAGACTATAACTTTTACTGTTAGTTAACATCTCCATAATGAGCTACAAATTACGATGTATTTTCTACGATGACATAGTGAGAAATAATCTATAGATTCCTTTTTTGGATTTGGATATCTTTATATACTGTAACTATCAATATAAAATGAATGCACAAGTTCATTAATACATATTTTCATAGAGAGAAATTACATATAATTAGGTTGCTATACTTCGTATTTTAATATATTCTAATATGATTTTAAAAGCTTATTAGGAAAGTATCACCATTGGTTTGGTTTCATATATTCACTCTTAGTGTTTTTAGAGTTTTCAAAGCTTTTACAGGTAATCTGAATGTTTTGGGTACAAAAAAGCTAAAAACAAGTATTCTGGAGATTAAATAGTTTTCTGTCTTCAGAAGTTTCTGTTTTGATGGAGGACTTTCCACCATTAGATCAACACAAAAGTTTGACTTTAGATAGCCAGGGATGTTAGATTTCATTTCTAAGTTGTTTGAAGTCAATAAAAATCAAGTACCAAGAGTTACGCTCAAATTATCAAAGACTGGTCTTTCTGGTGACGAAATGGAGAACCCAGAGAATGACACCTATAATCGATCCAATACCAATCAACCTTAACTTCTCATCGATCGACCAGCATAGCCATCCAAGTCAGCATGGAGTTGACCGATCCATTGGTGATGATTTACTTACATATATATTCTATCTGTTTAGAAATTTGTGCCCCATACATATTCACCCTATCCGCCTTCTAAAACTATGAAAAACATTGAGACAAGACAAAAAAAAAGAATGCAGCCAGCGAGTGGGGCATGAAAAATCACCAACACGCAGCCACAAAAACTTTATAGTTTTCATTGGTTTAATTGCTTTATTCGGTTTTTGCTCTTTTTATTTTTTTTGAAGAAGTGGATCTCAGCTTCATATCTCGATATTGAGAAGTTTACTAACTCATTTTCTTAATGCAATAATTTGATTATACTGCCATTGTTTTATTGTTCACTTTTGTGTAACCAATTGTTGGGTTTAGTGTTGTTCAATGAAAATCATAATGGGTTAACAAATAGGATTGAATGATCTAGGCTTAGAGTTTAGTTAAAATTCTTTGTCTCTGTTGGGAATATTGCATATCACTTTTCTTGCTAGTTAGTATTTAATTTTAAATTGGTATTACTTGCATACTACTTATTGTCGGTTAGAACTAAGCATAGATGAGCTCAACTGGATAATCGTATAACAGCTAAACTAGCAGATAAGAGTCACAACACTTGGGCATTACTCCTCCCCCTAAACTCACATATACCTCTTGACTATATCATATAAGTTGAATATATCTTACTTGAGCATCGAAGAGTTTCCGGAAGGGAAACCCACTTTCGTCCCTCTCAAAGGTGTCTTTAGTAGTTTGCTTGAGGTCTCAGGTCCAGCGCATGGGAGGTGATTTGGCATCCAGGTACAATTCACCACCCTAGTAGATGGATACAAACCCCGAGATACGTCGCGAAGAACCGTAAGAATCCTACAAAATCCTACCAATATTGTGTTGTTTTAGGATATTTTTCATTTTTCTAAAACTAAAACAAAATATAGTTTTGAGTTTAAAGCTTAGTATTAAAATTTTAGTTTTCTACTATTTTTTATTCTGTAAAATATAAAAAAATTCTTAGCTTTTACTTTTGTGTGTGAGATAAAATCATATGTGAGAAGGGACAAATTGGTGATTTGTTTTTGTTAACTTTGAAAAACACATACATATTTTAAACTTAGATATAAACTTTAAAATAATCAATTATTTTGGAATCTAAAAATATTTTTAACAAAATAATAAAATTCTTTATTTGGCTAAAAATTACATGAAAATCTTATTTGAGTTTATCAAAAAAATATGAATTTGATAAATAGTCATTATATTTGAAGCGTAAAGGTAATGTACCAACTTCAAATTGTCATGTTGTCATTATTTTGGACATATACAAATGCTTATCACATCTGTGAATAATAGAAAAATATTTCTCTCACTTTAACTTGTTTTTTTTCTGTTGTTGGTTATATGTATACTGAATTTCTTTTAACAAGAAATATACTGAATAAAAATTAAATTGTCATTTGATAAATATATAAAATCTTACAAGCTATTGGTACAAATCTTTTTATTTAGACATCAATTCTTAAAGAATAAAAAATAATATGGGCTTTACTTTTTCTTTTCGCATTTGTTTGAGCATGAATCCACAATACGCTTTCCACTTCTGCTTATTCATCAAACAGCAACAAAAATCCATAAAAAATAATTAAAATTTATACACCAAATGTTATCTTTATATATAATAATCAATGTAAAAGTGAAAAGTAGACATAAAACTATGGAGCACTATTTGCAATTATGCAATACCTTCGTAATTGAAATCACTGCACTCATTTTGAATTCGCTCTAAGATGTAATGTCATATGAAATTTACAAGATACACTAAAAAACTACAAGAAGTGAAGGCTTACTCAAATTTTGGAAGGAGGAAGGAGAAACACAATGATGAGTAGCATACCCAAGTTTGCAAAAATAATCAGAATCATCGATTTCTTCGTTTAAAGAAAAAGATTGTGGAGAAGCTTGTTGAAGACATGATTTCATACACGTGTCTGGACACAAAAGTTTCTTTGGAAACCGTGACTGAGATGTACCCATCATAAGACAACCTGGATAACATTGTATGGTAGGGATTTGTTGAGCCTCTAGCTGAATAAAATTGTTCCCTATCACCATCATCGCCACTAAGACTTGCCATTATTTTGCTCTCCATATTAAAGAAAAGACAAAACTTTGTTTTTTTCCTATTTGTGTACCTTTTCTCTTTCTTAGTATATATTATAAAAACTTTTAACGGATTTATTTTTTGTAAGTTGTGAATGCTGATTGAGTTAACAATTCTTTGTTTATATAGACTATAACTTTGACTGTTAGTTAACATCTCTATAATAAGCTACAAATTACGATGTATTCTCTATGATGACATAGTGAGAAATAATCTATAGATTCTTTTTGCTTTGGATTTAGATATCTTTATATACTGTAACTATCAATATAAAAAGTATGAATAAGTTCATTAATACATATTTTCATAAAGAAAAATTACATATAAATAAGTTGTTATACTTTGTATTTTAATATATTCTAATATGATTTTAAAAGCTTATTAGGTAAGAATCACTATTGGTTTGGCTTCATATATTCACTCTTAGTGTTTTTAGAGTCTTCAAAGCCTTTACAGGTAATCTGAATGTTTTGGGCACAAAAAAGCTAAAAACAAGTATTCTGGAGATTGAATAGTTTTCTGTCTTCAGAAGTTTTGGTTTTGATGGAGGACTTTCCACCATTAGATCAACACCAAAGTTTGACTTTAGATAGCCATGGATGTTAGCTTTCATTTCCAAGTGGTTTGAAGTCAATAAAAATCTTGTACCAAGAGTTACGCATAAATTATCGAAAACTGGTCTTTCTGGTGACGAAATGGAGAACCAAGAGAATGACACCTATGATCGATCCAATACCAATCAACCTTAACTTCTCATCGATCGACCAGCATAGTCATCCAGGTCAGCATGGAGTCGACCGATCCATTGGCGATGCTTTACTTACAGAGATATTCAATATGTTTAGAAATTTGTGCACCATACATATTCACCCTATCCGCCTTCTAAAACTATGACAAACACTGAGACGGGACGAAACAAAGAATGCAACCAGCGAGTGGGGCTTGAAAAATCACCAACACGGAGACACAAAAACATTATAGTTTTCCTTGGTTTATTTGCTTTATTCGGTTTTTGCACTTTTTTTATTTTTTTTGAAGAAGTGAATCTCAGCTTCATATCTCGATATTGAGAAGTTTACTAACTCATTTTATTAATGAAATATTTCGATTATACTGCCATTGTTTTATGGTTAACTTTTGTGTAACCAATTGTTGGGTTTAGGGTTGTTCAAAGGAAAATCATAATGGCTTAACAAATAGGATTGAATGATCTAGGCTTAGAGTTTAATTAAAATTCTTTGTCTCTAATGGGAATATTGCATATCACTTTTCTTGCTAATAGTGATTAATTTTAAATTGGTATTACTTGCACAATACTTATTAACGGTTAGAACTAAGCATAGAAGATTTCAACTAGATAATCGTATCACAGCTAAACTAGCAGATAAGAGTCACAACACTTGGGCATTACTCCTCCCCCTAAACTCACATATACCTCTTGACTATATCATATAAGTTGAATATATCTTACTTGAGCATGGAAGAGTTTCCGGAAGGGAAACCCACTTTCGTCCCTATCAAAGGTGTCTTCAAGAGTTTGCTAGAGGTCTGAGGTCCAGCGCATAGGAGGTGATTTGGCATCCAGGTACTACTCACCACCTTAGTAGATGGATACACAACCCGATTTTCGTCACAAAGAACCGTAAGAATCCCACAAAATCCTACCAACATTGTGTTGTTTTAGGATATTTTTCATTTTTTGAAGTAAAACAAAATATAGTTTTGAGTTTAAAGCTTAGTTTTAAAATTTTAGTTTTATACTATTCTTTATTCTATAAAATATAACAAATTTGTTAGTTTTTACTTTTGTTTGTGAGATAAAACTATATGTGAGAAATGACAAAATTGTGATTTGTTTTTCTTAACTTTGAAAAACATATACATATTTTAAACTTTGATATAAACTTTGAAATAATCAATTATTTTGCAATCTAAAAATATTTCCAATCAAATATTAAAATTCTTCATTTGGCTAAAAATTACATGAAAATCTTATTTGAGTTTTTCAAAAAAT